AAGGAGAGAAGAGTTTAAGCCATATGGAGGGTGGCTCAAAGTCAACTAGGGAGATGGCATAGGACCAAGGCATACAGAATTCCCACATTTAAAAAGTCAGCTAGAAGAGACTGAACTAGCAGAGGAGATTGAGAATTAGAAAGTCGCGAAAAGTAGAAGAAATACCAGATGATTCTGAAGCAGGGAAAGTCAAGACTGTTTAAGGAGGGAGAATTCTCCTGAGAGGGCGAGTGAGCTGAGGACTGAGAACGTTCCATGGGGTTCAGTGACTTGGAAGTCATTGGCACGACGTTAGAGTGCCCACACGGTGCAGAAGCTAGTCGCAGGCTGTGGGCTGTGAGGAGTGAGTGGGCCACCAGAAAGTGAAACCAGTGAAATAACAGCCCTGTTGACAACGTCCTCTGTGACGGGGAGGAGAAAGAGCAGGGGCTAGCTCTGGGCTTGAGCGAAGATGTAGTGAAGGCAGAGAGGCTGCTGGTACAGAAGACTGAGAAGATGAGGGGAGGGAGCCTAGGGATTGGGAGGAAGGCAGAGAATGGATGCTGGTGAGCGGAGGGTGGTGATGCCTGCCAGTGCCGTCGAGACAGTTTCCTGTTGAGGCTTCTGTTTTCTGTGATGGAAGAGGCTCTGGCATTTTCTGAGTATGAGAAAACAGACTGCTTTTAGGGGCAGAGATGTGGGAAATAGCCCTGGTGGAGAATGGGAAAGTGCGTGTCCTGGAGCTTGGGCGGGATTGACAAGCAGCCCTGAGGGCTGGTTGGGGTTGGCTCCACTGTGTCTTGTGCAGAATTTCATTTGGTGTACCTCGCTGCCCTTCCAGTCGTGCAGAGGGTGAATGATTGCGCTCATCCGGGGAGACAGCTATGGCAGATGGGTGCCCTGAAGGGGTAGAGGGACAAGGGGTTTAGTGAGTCAGGCAGTGACTTCACTGATGAACTGTGGACTCTTAAGATGGTTATGGAAAGATGTGAAGGCAGGAGGCGAGGAGGGGGTTCAGAAGAAAGTAGAAGCAAGAGAACTCCAGGATCCAAGAAGAAACTGTGGAGTCAACAAGCTGAAAAAATAGGAGGGTTATGATCCGAGTGGGTGTTTTTATCCTATGCATCACACATTCGGTACAACCTAAATCTTTGCGTACGGAGGTGATGCTCCCTAGCTGGGGACGGTGTATTTAAGGAGATTTTTCTCAATGTCTGCTGAGTTGCCTTTTGTTATGTCTGTAATACTGGCTATTTAATATTAGATTTCAAGTGGTAAAAGTTGCTCATGTTTGCTTTGGAGACTGTACGCACATGAAAAGGGCGGGTGTGTGTTTAAGAAATATATTTTCGGTTATCTTATGGTATCCTGCAGTTCTCATGATGGGCTCAAGCAAACAGCTTTCTTAGGAGGGTTACAGGATCTGTGAGGATGATGGTGCCAGGAAAGCTAGAGATACTTCAGCAAGGATGAAGATAGGATTAGGAAGGCGAATTAGGGTGGGTTTATAAGAAGATCCACAATAGGGATATAAGAATGAATGTTGGATAGAAGATGGAGGGGAACAAGATCACTGGGGATGAAGGAACGTAAGAGAACTTGTCACATTTGCCACACAGGTAGATGTTGACGTCCCGTGGTAATGGCTAGGATGGAGGTGAAGACGTCACCGAGGTGAGAGGGCACTGGGCGTGGTCCATGACAGTGACAAGGCAGGGGGAGGGCAGTAGAATTGGATGGCATGGGCCTCAGAGGAACGGGGTTTTGTTGTTGTTTTCTTTTTCAGGTGGTAAGGAAATGAGGTCTGGGAATCAGTAAAAAGCAAGTACTCCTTTCCTCCTCCTCCAGACCCCAAGAATTAGAGACGGCTAGGACAGTGAGTAGTGCAATGGTTCTCTTTGTGTGCGGTCCCACAACCAGCTGCGTCCGATCAGCAGCTGGGAACCTGTTAGAAATGCATTCTCAGGCCCCACAGACTCAGAAACTCTGGGGGTGGGCCAGCAGTCTGTGTGTGTGTGTGTGTGTGTGTGTGTGTGTTTAAAGATTTTATTTATTTGTCAGAGAGAGAGAGCACAAGCAGGGGGAGTGGCAGAGGGAGAGGGAGAAGCAGGCTCCCCACCGAGCAAGGAGCCCGATGCAGGACTTGATCCCAGGACCCTGGGATCATGATCTGAGCCAAAGGCAGACGTTTAACCAACTGAGCCCCCCAGACATCCCAGCAATCTGTGTTTTTGCAAGCCCTCCAGGTGACTCCAGTGTGCTCGTGAGAACCACTGCTGCAATGACATCTACTTGGGTGCGGGGAGGGAAGTAGTCAATGTGTCCCATGAGCGGTCTGATGGATTTCCCCTGGTAGGTCTGGAAGCAGGTAGAGCCTGGACTCAGTGGACTTGAGACTTGGCTCTTGTGGTCTCCAGTGGCATCAGGCTGATAATAATAGTCTCAGAGCACATGTTAGAAGTTTGGTCTTTGCCTGGACCTAGGAATTTGCTATTAGCCCCAGCAGTGATTACAAGGGCTGGTTCATTTATAACTTTAGCTGTCATTGCTAGGGTTTTAACCACACAATTCGCTATATGCACATGAATTTATTTTTAAACCTTTCATAAACATTTCCTGTCATAAAAATAAGTTGTTATTCTTGTTAAGTGGTAGTTACTTGCAATTCAGAATTTCTTTTTCCTTAAGGAATGTGATGGATTGAATGTTATTTCAGATTTATCCTAATCACCCTATCTCTAATACACAGGTATGCCATTATTGTGATAATAAGGAGGGAAAACATTTTATTAAAAAACTGCAAAACTTGTCAAAGGTGAAGGAGAAGGTTGTGTAAATGTGTGTGCTTTGTCGAGGGGGAATCATCGGAGCTGTGTTAAAAAGCCTCAGGGATGAGGTATACCCGGATTCAGTAAGTGTGATTCCTGCCTCAGCCTTGACCACAGACCTGTAATTAGGATGCAGCTGGCTTGACTCGGGCCCATAAAAGGAGTGAAGGAACCCCAGCAGCTCGGGCAGTCATGGTGGCAGGCCGGCATCCTGAAAAAGAGCTGGGATTGGAGATGCGGAGGCTCGCGCGTGTGTCCTGATGGGTGCATTGGAAATGTGCTGCATGGATGACTTCAACAAACATTTATTTTGCATGCCTGGTTTGTGCCAACACACATTTTTCCCCCCATTTAATTAAATGTTTATTCAATGAAAGTATGTATAAAAACTTATAAATCTGGGAACTCAACCATACATGAAACAGGATGACGGGATATTCAGTTTTAAACATAGACGTACAGCACAGCTATGAACCATTCTTCCCTTTTCCCTTCGGTCCTTATTTCTGGCTCCTGTTTTGTCCTGTCAGACCATTCTGTTATTGGCCCAAGGAAGGATTAATGGACACATTTTACTGCTTTCAGGCCAGTGGAAGAAAGTTCAGGTGTTTAAAGCCAAGACACATTTTAAAGGCAAGGAAATTGAGGCCCCCAAAATTGGTGTCTTCCCCAAATCAAAGTTAAGTGAAGAAGCCAGGAATCTAATCCAGGTTCCTTAAGTCTGAAACGGGCTACCCCCGCCCCCCCCATGTGAATGTAGTGGCTTGGTTTCCTGTGGCCCTAGGACGGGATCTCTTGTCACTCACCCTCTCTCTGAAAACAACAAAAGAAAGCCTCCAAAATACTAAATTTGCATGATGGCGGGTCATCTTAAATCCCTGTCAACAAATGAGTCACTATCATGTAACATTTTAGCAAGCCCTAACTTCAGCAGGACAGATCTTTGAGGAAAGGAAAGGGGAGCGGGAAATGGCTCTTGGTCAGAGGACACCTAAGACACTTGTCAGTTTTGTTCAGTTGGCCCCAATGCCTTGTTTCGCTCTATTCCAAATCAAATATTGGGACCATAGGTTGCTGATTCCTCTTCAGAACATTTAAGTGTTTAATTTGCATGTGAAGCATTCAGTTTGACCAAAAAAATTTAAACACTCATAATAAACAATTTTGGAGGGCTGCTGCCTTGCTCTGGTGGATACTGTTTGTGCTAAATTAATTTAATACACTAATCAGAGCTCTGATGCATTCTGTGAACTGCTAATCTTAAATCAGTGGATAAATGGTAGTGGCATTGGGCTGGTTTTATTTCACAGAAGGGACTATTTGGAGGTGGGGCTGGAGGGAAGTGGAAAAAATCAGAATAGAGTTGCACACTCTATTTCCAGTACCTTCTCTGAGGTCCCGTTTCCTAGATCACTGCTGCCATGCTAAAGGATTTCTTCTTTCCCTGTCCCCTCCCTCCCAGCCTCCCTCCCTTCTCTTCCCTTCCCTCCCTCCATGCTTTCATTCTCAGCTCTCTCTCCCTCCTTCTCTCTCGCTCTCTCTCCCTCTCTTTTTACTTTTGCTATTGGAGGAATTAGACTTGGGATGGTAATGCCTGTGAATCAGAATTCCAGAGCATTAATTAATTTACTATTTAGTATTCAGTTTCACCCACACAAACTAAGTCATGGTCTTTTTCATGTAAGCATTTGATTAGATTCTGAGGGGCCAGATCAAGCGGGTCCTGGGCGCGGGGCCACCTGTTACAGCAAGACTTGTTTCAGTTTTGAGTGATTTGGTCCTTGGGCTGAAACCAATGAAGCCTGATTCCAAGAAAACAAAACTGGCAGGACAGTTTGTTCCATTTCCTTTTCTCCAGCATGCTTCATTTTTTTTTAGGGTTTGGAGTTGGGAGACAGGACCCACTGAGAGAGGAATCCCGTAAGTGGGGAGAGAAAGGCTGTTGCATTGTTAGGGGAGCGTTTCAGCCTGAGTGATTAGCAGTATTTGGCCATGAGGAAGAGGCCTCTAAAAATAACTGGTGAGCAGAGTTTGCAGTCAGGTCCAATTTCAGTTCTACAGGCCTTCCCCGTGGAGCAGTTGGCCAGTCCTAAGCCCTAGTAGGGAAAAGGGTGTTCGGCATGCCTGATACCTGCTGATAGCACTCTGATTTTTCTCTTCCTTCTACGTTATTCATGGATTGAAGAGACCAAAATGGCTGAAGGTAAAGGTGCATTTTTATTGTTTGGGTTAAAAGTGGTTTAGGATCTAGCTGGCAGATTTTAGCTTTGTTTTCAGTTGTGCACTCTTAATATTTTTGGCTAAGTGCTTCAACTGCATCTTCTACATTTTCTATTTTGAACTACTGGAGACATCAACTTCTCATGGTAGTTTAATTTTTCATGGAGTAATCTGTCTTTAATCTGAATGTGTTTTGGTGTCTTAACTTAGAATTTCTTTTAGTATGTTGTACCATCAAAGACCACATTTTACAACCTTCAGAAAAATGTACAAGTGGTCTTCTTTGGTCTTACAATTACAGTGAATTTAAAGAATGGTGTGTATTCAGATTTCAAATTATGGGAAATTTAAGGCCTGTGTGAATCTCGTCTTATATTAGGGAGCACACTTAATTGCTTTAAGCAAAGCTTGACTCAGGCTTGACCATATGTGGAAACTGACCTAATTTTTGTGAAGCGAGCAATGAATGCAAAGTAAAGACACTAGGATTTTATTTATTTATATTTTTTAGTGTAATTATTAACTTCAGGTGTTTTTTTAACAATGTGTTGAATTTACATTCTTGTATATGTTTGTTTTTGCCATACTTTGTAAGGTAAGACTGTCTTTCCACTTACTTGAAAGTAAGGTAAGACTGTCTTCCACTTATTTGAAAGTAAGCTGCATTAGCTCATTATGTTTTTGTTTTGTTTTTCAATTTGATTTGGACTTTTTATTTATGTTTTTATTTGTTACATTAGATAACCCTACTAGAGTGGTAAAAACTACCACCGTTCTGCTGTGGCATATATATTCACAAACAAAACACCATCTCAAGACCCCAGATTTCTGTAGCCTTCCCACCCTGCTCATTATGTTGAAATTTTATTTAAGACAAAAAAAAAAAAAAAAAAGACGTGTTAAGACAGCTTCCAACTCTCAACTGCCTAAGTGGCCACTGGAAGGAGTCTATTATTAGTATAGAGAATATGAGTATCCCTACTTTGAACATCGTTTTGAGTAAATGGTTAGAATGGGTCATTTGACTATTCTGATAAAGTGCCTCATGTCGCCATGATGAAGAATTTGAGATATGTATCTTTAAGTTCTTTTACAAGACATTTCTCCTCTTTTCTGAGGATTATATAATCTATGTAGTGAGGTAAAATCAGCTGGTACTTCTGACCTACTGTTAACAGTTCTTGGCTCCCAAATGGTGACATTTTGTAACATGGAAAAAATAATCAGTTTGAGGAGTTGCTTGACAGTTTTGTGGGTTTTTTTTTTAATTTTAAATGTGGGGTTTATGTATAAATATGAAATTACCAGCACAGTGCTAAGCAAAACTCATACATGGTTGATTTGTAATTCAGTTTGTTGTAACCCAGTTAAGTAATTGACTGACTCCTGTTCAGGTGCTGGGGTATATCTTTTATTTTCTTTTTCCCCAACCAAATAAATAAAATGACCTATTGTCCCTAGCCCACATTTTGTAGAGAGGCACATTTCATTGCTCACTGTGTTGAGTAGTATGTGAGAACAGTTTTCTGATTTGGAGGTCATTACTTTTGATGGGTCAACATGGAAAAAAATGAATCACATAGTTCTTGCCATATTCTTAACCCCCCTTAAAAAAATCTTCTTCATCTTAATCCCTGGGACTACAGGTCAAACAATAGTCAGAACATGAAATGAAGACTCATATTTATTATGATCTTAGGAAATAGGGTTAACTGCTGGACATTCTTCCAGAATACCTTTGGAACAAAGTGCTGATTTCAGGTTTGCTTAGGGTGTTTTAAACTCTTGAAGTGTTTATCTTACTATGCTTTTTTCAGTTAATTGGACAAAAAATAATCTGCCCTTTGGGACTAGGTACACCATATTTACAAAGTGACATATCACGGGAGTATTATTTGGTGTCAAATAGAAAGTTCCTGTAACAGAGATGTCTTAGGAAAGATTCCTTTCTATAATTTACCGTTTTGTTCCGTTGTGGTATTAGTAAATATTAACAGTAATAAGATTAATGAAACTAGAGTAAGAATTTATTTGACATTAGAAAGGATGGATAAAATACTGCTAATAATTTCATATTCTAGCTAAGTAACATTTACCCTTTTTTTGACATTAATCTTTTAAGGTGATAAATTTGTTTGATAAATTATACTGTAAATGAAAAACATTTCTGGATTTATTATGCCTTTTTTGCATTCTTAAACAGTTTTAAATAATATTTTAATGACAGACTCAGTCTGATTGTCATCATTCCCTTTACTTAAAATTATTTAAGATTATTTTAAGGATAGTTCGAGGTTTGCCTGCACGCATCAATCATAGATCACCCCCTGCCATTTAGTTTTTTCAAATTCTTTGCTCTTGCTGCTGGTTTTCAGACCTCCTACAGGCCTTCCTTCCAGCAGCACTTTGTTGCTTGAACTCCTATAGGTGAGGTTGTCTTTAAAGTATATTCTTTAGTTTTGTGCAATATGTTAGGAAACTTGATCAAAGTTTTAGAATCATGTTCAAAACAAATATATGTCGATTCTAGTTAAAGGTATGTTCTTTACTGTGTTTTGATCCCCCTTCCCCCATCTCTGCCACGGTGCGTGAATTTATGTAATTTAAAGAAAACTTTTTGTACCTTTTACTTATATTTGGTGTTGCAGGTCAGTAACTTAGATGAGTATTTGCTGAATTAACTCAGATAAATGAGTCTTTCCTTTTGAGAATCTTAGAAATTTTCCTCCTCCATTTCTGCTTTAAGAAAGAAACAGACATGGAGATAGACTTGAACTTTGAATTCAAATAATTGTTTCATTAGCTATTCCATTACAAGCTCCTTTTAAATTATAAATCCATAGTTGGAGGTAAATGGATATTCCAGAAGGCATTTTTCTTATTATAATTAGTATTCTATATAAACAGGTATGTATGTATATATTTGTATGCTGTATAAAAATAAGGTTTTTTTTTTAAGATTTATGTATTTATTTGAGAGAGAGAAGGAGTGAGCACGAGTGTGAGGGGTAGGGGGAGAGGGAGAGAGAGAATCTCAAGCAGACTCTGCGCTGAGCGTGGAGCCTGACCCTGGGTTTGATCTCACAACCCTGAGATCATGACCTGAGCCAAAATCAGGAGTTGGTCGCTTAACCGACTGAGCCACCCAGGTGCCCCAGAAATAAGTTTTTTTTGTTTTGTTTTGTTTTATACAGCATTGAAAAATGTCTTCATGTTCACTGAAGTTTTAATAAATTAAACACATAACATTGCTAGTGAATCTCTGGTGCTCCCGTCCCCGCTTTTTTCTTTTCTTTTTTAAAATTTTAGTGATGTTCTATATTGTCCTTATAATTTTTATGCTTAAGACACACAAAAGTATTGGAAATCATCATTTTCCCCCATCAACATTGCCAAAGTTTTCACAGTTTCCCCACCCCATGGCTGTGTTCAGATACTGAAACAGTGAAGCCTGTTTTTAGTGGATTTAATATGTAACTTTATAATCTATGCCCGGTAAGAATTTTTTTAATGTAAACATTATGATTTTATAAAGCAAGCTTTTTGGAGACTTTTAATAATAGATCATATTAGAAACAGATTAGATGGCCATATGTTATTTGGTGAGTATTCTTTTGTGAATTCACCCTGTGACTATAAATCTGGCCCTTTTTGATAGGTCTATTAATATTTAAAGAACATTAGAAGGGGAAATTGACTTTTTTGTTAAGAATGAAATTTGTCTCAGTCATATTTTTATAGACTTAAATATGGCGATATAGATAAAAAATGTATGTATTTGAGTGTATGCACTCACTCTCAGACTGATTTAGTTTTTATGGCCCCTTTTGAAAAGTTGATCTGGTGATTTGTTTAAAAAACTGTATCTTTTTAATAAGAAGAATTTCATTTCATTTTTTCTTCCAGAAGATTTGGCAGTATATTCTTGATTTGAGGCACTGGATACTACTACCAGTATTCTGTAATGAGAGTTGGATTTAGGGGTGAGAAAGCCAGTTCTAGATTAGAGCTAGTAAGCTTTGTTAAAGTCATGTAATTTGGCCCACTCACACGGATCAAGGAACTCAGGACCAGAGAAGTAGGGTTAATTCCTAGCTCTATCCAACTTGTGCTGCAGACTTGGAGTAAACCACATAATCTTTTTTCTATAAAACAGGGATGATTATTACTGTCCTTACCCCGGTGGTTCTGACCCAGGCACCACCCTTGTAGGGGACACTGGGAAGAGTTTGGGTATATTTTTGTTTGTCATCATCGGGGAGCTACTTACCTTCGGGACCCGAGGAAACCAGGCTGCCCTGCAGCGTGAGGCACAGTTGCACCGGCTAAAGAATTGTTCTTTATAGACATCCAGAAATGCCCTCTTGAGATACACTGACCAGACCTCTGTGAGAATCACATGCCGCCATGCACGTGGGGGCACTTTGAAGTACATGGCACATGCTCAACAAAGAGAAGACAGTGTCCTGCTATACTACCTGCTTGATAAACTTGTCCTTTTCTCAAAGGGCATTTGGGAATATGACATATCCTTTGAATAATATTTATTATGTTCCTTTCCAAAAGAAATTTGAATATGGTGGTCCTTTCTTCTAAGGACAGCATTGACCATTTTCTGTCAGTGTCACTTGACTTTCATTATTTTTGTTTACTTTTGGCTGTAAGAAGACTATTTACAGAAGAATAGCAAATGTGATAAATGACACTCAGTGGACTGCAGTATACAAAGCTGTTTCCTGCATTGAGACGGATTGTGAATGATGAGCCTTTACCTGCTTCGTAGGCCCTGGTGGATCTTGTAAAGGAGGAAGACTCATTGTTGTACTATTTTGCTTCTCTTCTTCCCTGACCTCTATTTCCTATAAATAGTCTTCTCTTCTTCTGTCTCTCTCCGGTGAAGAATATGGAGCCATTTTTGGGGGAGATATTTTTGTGGCCATTAACAGGCTTTTTAAGATTCTCCAGAAACTAAATGGGTCAGAGAAAAGGATGTGGCCACATTTCTGCGTGATTTCATGAAGCCGTTGATATGTGCTGAACTTTGGAGGAGGTTATATGTAAAGAACTTAGAAAGAAGGTATACAGATTACATATAATATACATATGATATCAGCTTTTATTTTTAAAAAATTGTTAGCCATAAGTGGTTTTCTTTTTCATTACTTCTAAGTCAGAGTTTTATATGTGTGGTGTTGAGTCTGAGCAGAATCTTTTCTGTTTCAAAATCTTTATTTTAGGGATGCCTGGGTGGCTCAGATGGCTGGACGTCTGCCTTCGGCTCAGGTCATGATCTCCAGGTCCTGGGATTGAGTCCCACGTCGGGCTCCCAGCTCAGCGGGGAGTCTGCTTCTCCCTCTCCCACTCCCCCTGCTTGTACTCTCTCTCTCAAATGAATAAATAAAAAAATCTTTTAAAAAATCTTTATTTTATGTAACATGTTTTGAGAATTTGAGTGAAAACTATTTTTGAAATGATTTACCATTGTAAGTACTTTCAAGTAACTGGAGAAATAATTCAGCAAAAAGAGGTGTTCACTAAGATGTCTTCTTCTATAATGACATTGTTCATCTGTTTTATTTTTAAACAGAGACAAAGCATGGAGGACACAAAAATGGGAGGAAAGGAGGACTTTCTGGAAGTTCATTTTTCACATGGTTTATGGTCATTGCATTGCTGGGAGTCTGGACATCAGTAGCTGTCGTCTGGTTTGATCTTGTTGATTATGAGGAAGTTTTAGGTAAGAATTTTGGTATTGTTTCTTATGTGAATTTGTAAGCATGAAAGACATCCTTTAGTAATCTTAAAGATTTATCATTATTTTGGGGGTAATTTCTGTAACCTTTCAGTTGTTCTCAACAGTGTAGAAACAAAAGGGGTTGTTATCAGGGTTACCTGGGAGTAGTGGCTTTTCAACTTCTTCGGACATAATCTGCAGTAAAAATAAAAAATAGGCATTTATTGTATGTATGTCACACAGGAAAGTTTTATCAAACAGTACTTAACTCTTAGGAAATGCAGTACTATATAATTTCTGTTCCATCTTGTTATATTACGAATTTTAAACATTTATGACCCACTGAATTTATATCAGGACCCAGTTTGCTAGACCCTTCCTTAGCATTTGGAAGCACACCCCATTGTCTTTGTTGGAATGAATCAATGTGTGTGTATGTGTATATGTGTGTATTGGTGTTGGTATAGGGGTATGTGTGTGTGTGTGTGTGTGTGTGTTGGGATAGGGGTGTGTGTGTGTGTGTGTGTCTCTGTGTGTGTTGGGATAGTGCTGTATGTGTGCTATTGAGGAGGTTGTGATGTTATTTCTGATAGTTGTCTTCCTTTCTCCTTGTTTTTCCTTTTCTCTTTCCATAATCACTGCAGTTTTTCATGACTTTTTACATAAATGATTCTTTACCATTTTTGGAGTCATACTCCGAAGTCACAGTCTTTTTTTAAATTGAGATAAAATTTACATAACATAAAATTCAATATTGTTAATATGTGAAGATGTACAGTTTACTGGTTTTTAATATATTCCTCATTATCTAACTCAGAATATTTCCACCACCCCCTCCTCCCCTCTCCTGGCAAACACATATTCTGTGTCTATGATTTTCTTACTCTTGACATTTCATATAAATGGAATCATACAGTATGTGGCCTTTTGTATCTGCCTTTTTGCATTTGGCACACTGTTTTCAGGGTTCAGTGCTTACTCCATTTTATAGCTGAATAATATTTCATTGAATGGATACTCACCACATTTTGCATATCCATTCATCAGTGATGGACCTTTGGGTTCTTTCCACTTTTTGACTATTGTGAATACATGGTCTTCCTCTTTAATGATCTAGTTGGAAAGTGTGGACCCTGTCACTGAAAAAAATGCATGCTTATCTATATGTACCGTGTTGCATAGAAAACCCCATCCCTTCCATAAAGCCTTCTGTACTTCTGCTTTAGATGTTAGATTATAGCCGTCTTTCGATGGGGTGGGGGGAGGCAAAACACGCTTATGGATAATCTGCCGTTTGTTGCAGTTTTTCATTATTACTTAAAGGAGAGTGTCTCTGGATAGATGATAGAGTAATAGAGGAAGAATTTTAGTTAGGAGACAAACTTCTGAGTAGATCTGTGCTTTTGTTGACTTACGGTGATATGTTGCCAGGGAACATCTCTTAAACAAAAGAAGAGATTTGAAATGTTTGTACATTTAAGGGCAAGTTAACAATTTTCGTGTTTTTACATGCATGCAGCCAAAGCAAAGGACTTCCGTTATAACTTATCGGAGGTACTTCAAGGTAGGCTATTGGAGATGCACTTTAAGTCTACTTGTGTTAGTCTCTAAAACCTCATCCTTATTCTATTAATTTAGTTATCCCCTGCATCAGAGAAAATAGGTGGTAGGACCAACTTCTCCCTTTGTTTGTCAGAAAGTATGGTATTTTCTATCTTTTTAATGTTATTTGCGCTCTGTGCTATAGATGGCCTCCACCTGCAGATCAACGCTTCTTATTTATATTTTCTTAGCCATAGAAATGATAACTTCCTTATCTCTTCGTTATTATTTATTTTTAATGTGTGTGTGTGCTTTCTAAACCAGACTTCTACATAGCTAGTTAACTATTTTCCTAAGTAGAACGAGGGCACTGGGAGGGTAAAGATTGATCACAGCCACTCTACTCCAAAAGTTCTGCCTGCTCTCCTGCAATGTTTTAACTTACGTTTTATTAAAGAGATGGTAACAGTGCTGCAGACTGATTTTTTAGTACTAATGCTGTATTTATGGATGCTGTTTAAAATACTGCTCTACGTGATGTCTCCTCACAGCCATTGTTCAATGCTGAGTTCTAAATGATGTTGGTTTTAGAATGTTTTTTAGGGAATTGAATGTGTTTGACTCACATTTGGAGTACTAAACATGGCAGTGCTCCTAGATGATAAAGCCTTAAGATAACATTTTACTCTGCTTGAAGAGGAAAGGCTCTGAGAGTACTGTCTTCTCAAGTGGTCTGTTTTAAGCTTTTTTTTTTTTTTTCCTTGATAGTAGGTGGCCAGTGCTAGTTAAGTTTTAAGTGGGATAACTAAGTTTTCCTTTGTCGTTTCAGGAAGCCAGTTTTATATACTGTATTTCCAGAAGTCTTTTTTTTTAAGTTGATTCATGATATTTCTGTTATGAATCATTATTGTAAAATATAAAATTAATTATGCTCTTATTTTTAGTACTTATACTTGATGTTAATTATTTATATTTAGTCTTTATTTGAGACTTGGTGGGTGTTCTTTTTATTTTGAATATTGATGGTGGTGAGGAACTTCCATACTGTAGAAGCATTACATTTTATGTAACTTAGAAATCAATAATGTTTCTTATTTATGTTGAAATTTTTAACCTAAATTATTTTTGGCAACATAATAAAAAAATTCAGCTGAAATGATTAAATCAGCAGATTGTTAAAACTTTAAGGAAAATATTATCTCAGTTATATATCTTAGATTGTAAGGCAAACATGTCCTGAATCTATCATTTTTAGGTAAGATCTTCACTTAACACTGCTTTTCAGGATTCAGAGAGCAAAGAGTTGCATTGATTGGTAATATTTATGGCTGATGGTCAGGACTGTAATAAGGGGTAATACCTTATCAAACTTGTTTTCCCTTTTCTTCCCATCCATTTTTTCCTCCCTCTTGCAGGAAAACTAGGAGTCTATGATGCTGATGGTGATGGAGATTTTGATGTGGATGATGCCAAAGTTTTATTAGGCAAGTAGACATTTTATTTTTTTGTTAGTGGTGATCTTTGCCTTGATAATATCTGTTTTCAGTCACACACATTTTATGGAAGATATTTCCCACTTCAGTTCTGTATTTCATTCTTACTGAAATGTTAATGGCTTAATTGTTTTTCCAGGGATTTATATTTCAATATACTTTTATAAATGGTTAAGTATAGACTTCTTGCACATATGTTTTCAGTAACCATAATTTCATATCTGTGTTCAGATTTAAAGCACTTCCTAATCCGGACTTAATATTTGAACATATAGATAAGGTACTAGCCTGTTTTCAAATATGGTAATTACAGTCATTCTTGAACGTTAGTTGACGTAATTCACTTCCATTTGAAAATGTAAGTTTCTAAAGGCTTACATAAATCCATTTTGAAATAAAAATTGTGGTAGCCGACGTTTTAAAATGTCCTGTGCCTATTTTAAAGGTAACGTTAAAATATGAACTAGTAGAGTTTGGCTGGGTTTCTTTTTTTTTTTTTTTTTTTATTTATTTATTCATGAGAGACAGAGGGAGAGAGAGAGGGAGAGAGAAAGAGAGAGAGAGAGAAGCAGGCTCCCAAGGAGCAGGGAGCCCGATGCGGGACTCGATCCCAGGACCCTGGGATCATGACCTGAGCTGAAGGCAGACGCTTAACCATCTGAGCCACCCAGGCGCCCTGGGTTTCTTTATTTTAGAAATCTTGAACCCTTCTCTTTCTACCACCAGAATTACCTGTCTTTATCATTGAGATATTTCTTATAATGTATAAATATGTGATATTCCCTCATTTGTTTTAAAATGCTGCCTTCCTAGAAAAAACGATGTTAATTTTAATATGCAAGTTTTATATAATCTGGCCTAGGGAGATGTGTGTTTCTGCTTGTTAAACAGCATCACTTCCTTTGTTTTACTATGTAGTGTTACATGTATTAAAATTTTGTATACTAAAGTACTTAGAAAAATAATAAATATGTCATGGTAATATATACTATACTTACTAGAGTAATGATGCAAAGAAATTCATCCTAGACACACAATTTTGTGTTTATTTTATGGATATGAAAAAAATGGGAGGGTATCACATCTATAACCAATGGAATAGTTTTAGGTAGATTAATCTTAACCTCCTTATAAAACAGTAAGTTCTAAATATGAAAAAAGTGTTTTAGTTGTGATTAAATGTAATTTAGCTTCTTAATTTTGACCTTAGTTTATGTTTTCGTATACTTCTCAATGGGAATTATATTTGCTACTTAGCAGTGGAAGTTTACTCTCAATGAAATTTTTTTCCTCTCTTAACCTTAATGGAATTTTCTATATAATTTTATCATTACATTTTTTCTAATTTTTTATGGATATAGTAAATCTAAAACTAAATTTTTCTATGGATATAGTAAATCCTCAGAAGACTATAATCCTAGACATGCAAAAGAAGTAAAATGTATAGAATTTAACCTATCACAATGATGCTCATTTGCTTGCCTATAAATGGTTTATTACTCCATTGTATTACTTTACTTTAAATGATGGATTCTGAAGTTATCATTTTAAAGATAACTTCCTGTGGGCCATGTTTCCTCATTTTTAGAAATAATATTACTTCTCATCTGCTATATTTTGTTGGGGGTTTTTTTGGCTTAAAATCAGCTATGTGGAAAAAAATAAAATCAACAATGTGGTCTGTCAGATAGGAAATATCAACTATTAAAAATTAAAATGTTATTTCTTCTATAGAGCACACTGATTTCTATAGCAAACTTACATTAATAACTTGATTTTTAGTATTTTAGATTGCAAGAGTTTATTTCCTGTAAGGTTTTTAAGCAAACATTAAGAGGCTAATTAATTGAAACTTAAAACATTGCCATTTGCAGTAGACATTTATTTGGTATGAGCAAATCATTACTTGTTCCTTTTACAAGAATTATATATTTGGAGGTAGAACCAAATTTGGTGAATCTCAGAGTTCATTTTGGTAATTTGACTATTAAATGCACAAAAGCTAAAATAAAGGATTTTACCATATAAAGGTACTAATTCATAGTTAGCTTATGGCTTTACAGTTAGCCGAAACAAACCAAATGTGAGCTGTCAGGGTCACTTATGTCCTCTGACCTTCTTTCTATAGTGATTGAATTTTCTGCATGAAATACAAGCTTGACTGGAATTGAATTCTATGACTAAAGGTCTTTTTTAGTTTTGTGAGATTATTGTAGCTTAGTTGTGCCTCTGTTACTGGCAGGTGGTTGCAAAGAGAGAGCCTGGTGAGATTCTTGGGGTACAGAGACATTAATGGGCTCTGTATCTTCAGGGAGAGGTTATGGGGGAGCAAATTCAGTGAGTGTATACCCAAAAAGAAGCCGGGCTTCCTGGGTGTACTCTCGTTGGAGAGGCAGCTCAGGGGTAAGGGTTTGGGTTAAGGCACCAGGAAACCAAAGGGCAGATGCAGGTAGGAAGCTAGAGATTAGGGGAGAGCTTGTAATAACAGTTGAAATATGCTCAGCTTTCATAGGTTTGGCATTTCTTTCATAAGTGTTTCTTTCTGCATTCTTAAATTTGCATAATCTAAATCTTATCAATTTGAGGAAGTGTACACTTTCATATTTACATTGCACGTTTTAAGATTTGGTTTTTCTTGCGAAATATAAAGAGAGAATGAAATATGTGTGAGTAAATCAAGATATTCTGAACAGCCATCATTAGTTTTATTTCATCATTTCTGGCCATGGCCCTTATGATATACTTCGAAAATGTTCTAAGCCTTTCCCAGTTTACATAGCTTCTTCCTACTTTTGTGGCCAAATTACTTAGAATAAATTATCTTTGATGTCGGTTTGGATTATTGAAAACTACATTGCTGGAAATTGTATTCTTTGGAAACTTGTTTCCCGAATAAAATCAACAGGAAGGTGGTCCAAGGACCACTTGCTAAGAGTAACATCCTTTCAGAGTAACGCCACCTAAGGATTGCGTGATTGTCCTTTTGTCCATGACTAGCACCTAGCTGGCTCCATATCAGGTATGGCTGGAGAACAAAGGGGAAGCCAGTCAGCAATTCCTAGAGCCTTGATAAGCATTTGTAGACTGGACAGACGCATAAGTGAACTAGATCTTGTCCACTCAGAGGTGCTCACACCCTGCCCTTGGGTTCGGGCCTGCTCTTAGAGGCTAAGGAATTAATATACCCAGAATATTTCCTTTTTCTCTTTGGAGTAATATTTTTGTCTAAAGAACCACAGGAAGGTTGTTGCATAGTTGGGTCTATAGTTTGTTCAGGTACTTTTGCATATTTGTTGAATACTTCAGCTTGTCGTACTGAAGGCTGGTAAAGTTTTATATTTTATATTTGATACTTCGAAGTACTAATCTTGAAAATGGAGAAAAATAAACATGTTTATTAGAAATATACAGCTATAGTGTTTAAAGGCAGGAAGAAGAAACAATGTTATTCCCAGAGATTTCAGTGGGAATACAGATCTCCTCTGTTCATAGCACTTGTCAACTGTTAGATTCAGTGAAAAAATATTCTAGTTGTGTCAACAAGTAATTTAAATACCAAAAATACTAACTGCAGTTTGTTTTCTTCCCCTGACCTCCACCTATCAACAATGATATGATGTAGTTCTTCTGGGCAATGAAGTGGGGAAAATATACTGTACACTTTAATATTTACGCTAGCTGTCTTGCTGTTCTACCTTCCCTGCCCATCTTGATTCCTGGCTGTTATGTTTACATGGAGAAATGTTGAGCTGCCAAAGCCCAACCTACTGAATGAGGGTGGTTAGCATCGGAAAAGCTCTCAAGTCATGGATGTTCACATTTCTTATAGCCAGAACTGTCTATCCTGTGTTTTTTCTCTTTCAGAATTACGGGTCTTGTTACATAGGGTGTGGCAGTATTGGTGGATTTTGATATTTACTGGGCTGAGAGAGATTTCTTACCCAAAGCCAGTTCTAAACAGGAAAAAAAAAAAGATAAAACCAATATATACTTTGCTCTCTTTTCCGTCGTGATGACCTGTTTTGGGACTAATACTTAAACAACAGGAGTCCCAGGTCTTTACAGTAGAAGCTAATTTCTGGGGCTTATGGGAAGAGGACTTCAAATATTCCTGTTGCAAATGACTGGCTGGGGCCTTGATCAAATTTAATATTGGTTAGCAGAGTGAATTATTATTAATAGCTGACTCTTATTATTGGTCAGAATTATAGGACGATGAGTAAGTAGCCAGAGCACTGTAAAGCTAACATTTGGTAATGTGAACATTTGATTATCTGATATAATTTGAATAAATTTATGTTCATCTGTGGATGCTATAAACAGTAATCTTGCTAGTCATATTAACCCCAGAGTTTCTTAAGTAAACTCTAGGTCCGAAGGGGAAAAGTGTGAGGAAATGAACCTTTTTATTTTCTTCAATGAATATTTATTGATACATGTAAATGCTTGTATAATCAACTCTCGATAATATCTGGTTGGTAAATCAGCAATTACCAGCAAACGTGGAGGCTGTCAGAAGGATCTATCTTTTTACCCTCTATTACTTTTGTTCGTTCTTCCCATTGACATTAATCAGTCGATTTTGGCTAACACAATTTTGTGTTTGGGGCTCTAGATTCTCTAATGAGAGAAAGGCAGACCTAGTTAGGGGCTGGTAGGAATGGTTGAGGATTGGTCAAATTGTGCCTTTCCTGTAGTACATGATTGAGAGTTGATTGTAAGGTGTGCATCTTAATCAGTTTCTTTGTTTTCCGAAGTATCTTTTCTGTTAACTTCTGTGACCATGATGCACATCCTTTTTGAGATCACTCTTCCTCAACTTCTTTTTTCCACCTAACTGCTCTCCTTATTTTCTCTTTCTCTCTTCCTTTATTCTTATGTAGGCCTGACCAAAGATGGCAGTAATGAAAATATTGATTCTCTTGAGGAAGTCCTTAATATTTTAGCAGAGGAAAGTTCAGATTGGTTTTATGGTTTCCTCTCATTTCTCT